TCACGACATTCACGAGGGCGACGAGGCGAGAAACCAGTAACTTAAGATATCTCAATGTAACTTAAGATATCTCCATGTAACTTAAGATATCTCCATGAAACTTAATATAAACGATGAGATGATATAGAGAAGCTCACCTATGGCCTTGCCGCGCCGGACCAGTATCTCCTTGACCGGTGCCCGCACCAGCACCTTGCCGCCCGCTCGCTCGATGCCCGGGATCATGTGGAAGGCGATCTCGCTGGCGCCCCCTCGCGGGTACGAGACGCCGTAGCGGAAGTGGTTGATGAGGGAGGCGTGGAAGACGAAGCTGGAGTCGCTCGGCAGCGTGCCTGGTCCTCAATATACCTCAATGTAACTTAAGATACCTCAATGTAACTTAAGATATCTCAATGTAACTTAAGATATCTTAATGTAACTTAAGATATCTCAATGCAACTTAAGATACCTCAATGTAACTTAAGATACCTCAATGTAACTTAAGATACCTCAATGTAACTTAAGATATCTCCATGTAACTTAAGATATCTCCATGTAACTTAATATAAACGATGAGATGATATAGAGGAGCTCACCTATGGCCTTGCCGCGCCGGACCAGTATCTCCTTGACCGGTGCCCGCACCAGCACTTTGCCGCCTTAATATAAACCTATATATACCTCAGTATACCTCCATGTAACTTAAGATACCTCAATGTAACTTAAGATACCTCAATGTAACTTAAGATATCTCAATATAACTTAAGATATCTCCATGTAACTTAAGATACCTCAATGTAACTTAAGATACCTCAATGTAACTTAAGATATCTCCATGTAACTTAAGATACCTCAATGTAACTTAAGATATCTCCATGTAACTTAAGATATCTCAATGTAACTTAAGATATCTCAATCTTATATATAGGTTATATTAAGGTGGCAAGGTGTTGATGCGGTCACCGGTCAAGGAGGTGCTGGTCCGGCGCGGCAAGGCCGTCGGTGAGCGAAATGTTGCGGTCACTAACGTATCGTCTATCGCTAATACATTATCTCATCGTTTATATTAAGCTATATAAACGGTGTGTTACCTATCTGCTTCATGCCTGGTGGCGCTTACCGAATTTTATTTAGGTATATTAAGGTGACGTGCGCTTTGTGCCTGCACCATGCACACACACAACGGTGACTATACACGAGTGTAATTGTCATATGATTATTATAGTACTTTAGTAGTAATGATTGTTATAATTAATGCTATTATTGTGGAAATGCAATTGTTATGAGGATAAATATTAACATATAATAATAGCAACGAGTAACAGGATAGCCGTAATATTTTAACTGGTCTGTTTTAATAGTTTTCTGAAACTTGTCTCAAGTGTGTTCAAGTGTGTGTCATGTGTAATATAATATATATATATATATATATGTATATATATATATATATTATATCATAATGACTTCATTAACAAATACTTGCCTCAGTGATCCTTGTATTCTTTTGTGTTCAGGTGTGCACTGTTTGTGATATGTCATCGTGACTAATGCCTAATACTAATGTATTTGAGTCGGGGGTTGTTTCTGTGCAGGTGTGAAGGTGCAGAAGAGTAGCGGTGACATCAATATCTTCGCTCCACTCATCATCTCTGATGCGGGCGTCTTCAACACCCTGCAGAATCTGCTGCCGCGAGAGATCGCAGCAAAGTCCTGTAAGCGTACCTTAGTGTAAATGCCACTGTGGAGTCATGTGGAGCCCTTCCTCTTCCAACCTGTAAGCTTACCTCAGTGTGAATGCCACTGTGGAGTCATGTGGAGCCCTTCCTCTTCCAACCTGTAAGCTTACCTCAGTGTGAATGCCACTGTGGAGTCATGTGGAGCCCTTCCTCTTCCAACCTGTAAGCTTACCTCAGTGTAAATGCCACTGTGGAGTCATGTGGAGCCCTGCCTCTTCCAACCTGTAAGTGTACCTTACTGTAAATGCCACTGTGGAGTCATGTGGAGCCCTGCCTCTTCCAACCTGTAAGCGTACTTCAGTGTAAATGCCCATTGAAACGGCCCAAGATGTTCTGTCCAAACGGAAAAATGCGGAAAACGTCATTTGAAACATATTACAAACATGGAAATTTCAGTAAAATCATTAAAAACCGTTGACAATAGGCATGGTAGTGATATGGTTTACATTCAGACAAGTTTCAGAGCGAAATGACTTAAAATTATGTCTTTTGGTAGCCCTGTGCTTTCGGTCCCAACCCAACTGTCAGTCAGCGACCAAATACCTTGTTTTCGGGCAAATATATATACACGAATTTGAATTTTTGGTGTGTACAATCTCTATGGCAAGAATTTCCATTTTTTTCT